GGCCCTGGAGCTGCGCGGAACAGAGCTACGGGCAAGCGCTGCTCCAGCTACAGCTCTGACCCGCACGACTCCACAGGGAAGGGAAAGGTGCGAGGATGTGAAACACCTTTGTACTCCGTTTTCAGGGAACGGGACGGGTTGTGTCCTGTCTTCATCAGAGTTTCCTGAAGGATTTTTTACGCCGCAGGAGCGAAAGGATGGAGGAATCGTCATCTACTTCATCATTATACTTTACATGTTTTTGGCTGTGTCCATCGTGTGCGATGAGTACTTCCTACCTTCTCTAGAGATCCTCAGTGAATGTAAGTGAACATCATCCTCTTTGCCCTGTAAAACTTATCCGCTTAGTGCTGAACATTCTCTTTAGGAAAGCTTCATAGTTAAGAGACATAGTTTGGAGACAAAACTAAAGACATTCCAGTCTCTGTGCACAGACTTATCAATACAGCATTTAATTTGATACAACGTATTGATATTATATTGACAAAGCCATACTCTCATTACACTTCGCACAACCATTCATTTAGAATTTGCTTTCCTTGTGCCTGGAGGAAAATCTGAGGAGTTCCTCAGTATCAACTAAACTGTCGATAAAACACTGGGGTGAGCAGTTGTACGTCCAGCTTATTAGTTGAAGGGTGGTGGGGACCAAACCAAGAAAACCTTGTCCTCTATTTAACCATGAATTAAGTACCTTCCTCGAGTTTCTGTAATTCTCTCACAGTACTAGACAAGCTTCAGGATGAACTACCGTTTACCCATTAAAGGTACGGCACAGGAGGGGAAGGAATGCGAATGCCACAGTTAAAACCATTCTATGAAATCTAATCAACCCGTAATAATTCCCCTGGCTTCAGCAGACCACTGAATTAAAGAGATGGTCTTGGCTGAGAGGTCAGGTTTTCACTGCCAAGAATTAAAAACAATGCCCTACGGAAAACATTCTCCAGACCAGAACACTTACAGAAAATGTAAGCTTAAACATTGCTGCAGAGCTGATGGGTTTTTTATTGAAGATAAATAAGCATTTGTCAGACTTTTTCCATAGTTAGCCACATGCCCCTGTTCTCAGTGCGCAGAACTTGATCCAGAGTGAGTTACATTTCAGAAACAGTTCACTTACCAGAACAAAAATCTCATTCATTCAAGCAAGACACAGGCTCTTACACTGTCCATACGAAGGGAAAATTTGATTTTAAGATCGCAGCACTGGTTTGAATTTAACTAGTATTTCTGGTATGTGAAGACACAGTAGCATGGATTTTCCTGGAAGATAGACAGACTTGACATGGATCATGTAGCAGTATCACACTCAAGCCCAAGGAACTTCCCCACAATTATTACCCAGCAGTTAAAGCCCGCATACATATGCCTATTTTACATTCTAAGATCATTCCCAATCTTTTGTATTATCAGTACTTCTTTTCTGGTATTTAAAGTAATTCCTGTAATAAAGTTAGAAATAAATTAGCCCAGTAAATGAGGCTACATTTTCAATTTATTATTTTACCAATTCCAAATAAATGCATTACCAGTATGAAAGTAAGCAAAGTTCATTGTATTAAACTGTAGCAGCTTCTTTGCTCTATCCTCAGGCCTTGGCCTCTCTCAGGATGTTGCTGGAGCAACTTTTATGGCTGCTGGAAGCTCTGCTCCAGAGCTTGTCACTGCTTTTCTAGGTAAGAGACATAGGGTTTGACTCCTCAGAATCTAGAACTCTTTTCCTTGTATGCCAAACTGAAACATACCAGAGAGTCATTTCCCTTACAGGAGTCTTCGTGACCAAGGGAGATGTCGGGATCAGCACCATCCTTGGATCAGCAAACTATAATCTTCTTGGTATTTCTGCAGCTTGTGGGCTGTTTTCCAGCGTGGTATGTATCCACTTTGATAGTTCTGCTCCTAAGAGCCAAACGGTTTCTGATTTGCCAACAAAAGCCAAGAGAGACTTACTATGACAACTGCCAAGTTTATTATTTAGTAGCAAAACCAGCATGTAATCAGTAACTTGCTATGAAAGTTTTTAAAAACACTAACTTGTTAAATATCATACTCAAGTCATTCCTAAGAATTTTAAATTTTTACATTATATAGAAACAACATATTGATGCAGCATTTACAGCACTTAGTGAAAGTATTACAGACAAGTTTAAGAAAGTAAATGAATCTGTGTTCTGCAGGTTTCGAAGCTATCCTGTTGGCCGCTGTTTAGAGACTGCCTGGCATATACAATTAGCATGGCAGCGGTCCTTGCGATGATATCTGACAACAGAATTTACTGGTAAGACCACAAGTAGTATTGAATTCATGTTGACTGGAGATTAGCGAGACAGTGGTTTGAAAACAAACAGAAAACCCCAATCCCCAAACTTCAAGTAGCCCGAACTGCCACTCACAAACAGAAATAAACATTCTGTTGGCTTAAAAAAACCAAAACACAACCAAGAAAGTCACAATGCTTATAAAGATTATTACCTAAACATTCAAACCCTGCACATTTATAAAGTTTGATCTGCATAGGTTTGTCTCTAGAGACTTCACAATTTCTATCACCACTGTTTTGACGTAGCAATTAGTCTTCATAGTTTACTCCTTTTGAGCCTTTATCTGCCAGAAGCAGATCATGAGCTTCCGAGGTTTTAACTCTCTTCCATGATCACTGAAACTCCTGTTGCCTCAACAACTCAGTCACGTCCAGCACAAAGTCTCTGCTGTTTTCAACTCAAAACAGCACATACTATCCCCTCTTTAACCATCACATGAAGACTCAGTTTCACAAACATCAGTAAGAGGTTGGTTCAGTAAGATCCCCGGGAAGACAGGCAGCTATACAATACACAAAAACAAGATTCTGCAGGGGAGTGGAATTAATCAAACTGCTGAAAGACATGGGGACGCTCATGAACCTTCAGGACATCAGCCATACAACTGCAAACAGATGTTTTGGGTGTTTTCCTTTTGCCACTCACACAAATTTTCTCTCTCCTTACGCCAGCCATTTTAATGAGTCTAAAAGTTGTGGGGTTTTTATACTACATGTTATGTAAATCCTGTTTTTCATTCTAGGTATGAAAGTGCATCCTTATTATTGATATACGGGTGTTACATTCTGGTATTATGTTTTGACATTAAAATCAACCAATACCTCATGAAAAAGTTCAGTCCCTGCTGTGCGTGTTTTACAAAAGCTATGGAAGAGAACGCTGAGCAGCAGCCATTGGTTGGCTGGAGGGAAGAGAGTGGACCTCTAATCCGTCAACAGTCAAGAACAGATAGTGGCATTTTTCAAGACGAGCTGGACTACTCTCAGCTTTCAACAAGCTTGCATGGGCTTGATGAAATCTCTGAAGGTAGAAATATTATTACAGTTGTCTCTTATACTCTGCATGCCTGTCTGCATCATTTCTAATAAAGAGTAGATTCTGAGATAGCATTAAGATTTTGTTCACAAAAGAACTCCAGCACAGTATTTTAGTAAAGCAGTATTCTTCCCTGGAATATCAAGTAAAATCAGAGTGGGGGTATTTAAATGAAGTTAGTTGCGAGAGGAATGCGAAGATAGTCACTCATTTCTGTCATATTGGAACAGCACACTTCCATCAGTCTTTACTGTGCACATTTGAAACTTCCCAGCAGTGCTACTTGTAAAATGCTAAAAGACACACTGGTACCATACTCATCCTGTCCTCTATGACAATGGCAGGTTCATAGCCCAAAACATGCATGACAACAGAAGTACAGAAATAGCTATGATGTGGCTACAGATCATCAGTTTCCTCTTCACTTACGCAAAAAACAGCAGTTGGTACTTACTATTGCTAAACCTTTTGTGTAAACCTTTATAGAAAAGTTCACCCACCTTATTTCTCCCCTACTTGACATGGTAACAAAGATCATCTGATTTCAGAGTTTTGTCCAGTGTGACGTAGGTACTGCGTAAGACTACAGCCTGAACTTCAAGTATTTTTAACCTGTTTTCAGTATTCTCACAAGTAGATGCCAGCAATATGACTATGCTATGGATTCAAACCATGCTACAATTTAAAACAGTGTTTTTCCTCAACAGATCATCCAAGTGTCTTCACCATGCCTGAAGCAGATATGAAGAGAATTGTGTGGGTGTTATCCCTTCCTATTATTACACTACTTTATTTGACTATACCAGATTGCAGAAGACAGTTTTGGAGGAACTGGTTCATGGTGACATTTTTAATTTCAGCAGCATGGATTTCTGCCATAACTTATGTCCTTGTATGGATGGTAACAATAGCAGGTAGGTACCTGAACTGCTGCTGCTATACAGACTCAACCAATCCAGAGTGACTGAAAAAACAGTTTTCCCCCTGTGAAGAGTTTTCCTTTCCGCAATTAACAGTCAGTTTAGCAATGCATACTTTACTATAAAAAACAGAGCAAACCCAACAAAAACATATGTTTGACTGCTTAACTTGCTACCTTCTTCCATCTAATGAAAACCACTTTAGAGTTTAGCTGCTTCAGACTGTTTACCAGCACATGAATAAGGAGAATTTGTTTATATAGCTACAAAAAAACCCAGCCTGAATTTAATAGGAGACAGTTTCATGAAGCTTCTTCATTAAGTGAAACGATTAGACACACAGAAATAGACTTGTCAAGCTGAAATCTGACAAGTAATCCACCAAGACTGGAATTAAAGGTACAAAGTTCTGTAAAAGAACCGTTACTTCTATACCTGTATTTTTCTTGAGCACTACAGTAAGAGATCTGGCATTAAATCAACTGCCAAAAACATCTCCCAGATGCTTGTACTATTTTATTTCAACTATAGCATCACAGGTGTATTAAACATTTTTGGTGTGTATGTATAGCTCTTCTAAGTCTTCATCATAAAGTGAAGTAGTGAAGAACTGCACTGGAATGAGGGGTGAGGGGTAGGAAAACCTTTGCGTAAAAACATTCTCTTAGAAGTATCTTAAGGTATTAAAGATCTCCTCATTTCATTGTTTCTCCAGTCAGCATGGAAAAAAAAAAATCCAGTTTTTAATTTTAAGAGCAAGCAGAAATTAAATCTCTAAACAATAAAGAAATGTTACAAAGCTTGCTATTTCCACATTATAGCTCACTAGTCTTACTCAAGTATTCTGCTAGTTCAGCATCCTAAACTTGTTTTCAACTTAAGTTCAATGAATAACTCCTTGTTCAGTGCAGAAACAGACACATTTGGTAAACCTTTGAGAAATTACTAGTAGATCACTGGCTGTAACACCCACCAGGTTCACTCCCTGGTCAAATAATTTTCCACTTCTATCTAAAGAATAAAGGTTTACAGTCTGAATGCTAGAAGCCTTTGAAACCGGGTTCAAATGAAAGTTATTGCTGTGCTACAAGACAAAGCACTGATCCATGTGAAAGCAGGTACAGTGGAGATTCGGATTGTGTATTAGTGTTAGTCCACTTTGAACAGTCACCACAAGCAGTATTGGGGTCTTTAGCCCACTACTTCTAGGTCCAATATATTCTATTTACATGTTAAAACACTAAGTTACACACATTCTATTCAAGTCCAGGTTCTTTTATGAAGAGTGACTCAAAGATTCTATCGTGGCGTAAGAGCCTATCAGACCGTCACAAAGGTATCGTAACTGGGGACTGAATTTTGATCCTCAAGAACAAACCTTAGTAACTATTTTGTTGCTAGCAAAAAAACCCACAAAGGAGTACTACTTATAGCAAGATATTGCTACTAATATACAAAATTAACTAAAGGCTAGAAAAATAAAACCATTCTCTCTTTATGTCAGTTGCCAGAAAAAAAAACAAACAACCCTTCACATTAAATAAAGATAAATCTAAAATAAAAAGAAAAATTTAGATTCACCTGAGTTTAGATTCTATATTATAACCTTCAGAGGGCTAGAAACCACCGCTGGGTACAATGTGGAGGGTTCATTCATATTTCACATCAGTTCGCTTGGCATGAAGCATTATTTTCCACTTGGATGGTTTATAAAAGATGATCTTGTTGGTCCCTCATCCTATAAATCTCTTACATTAGGAGTGATGGGAGAATAAATACCAGTACACATTCTGCAACAGGATCGTATCAGTCCCTCTGAACCAACAGTTTCAAACATAAATTTATTTAAGTGATCCAGACTAAGCTGGTAGGTACGGGCAAGCATTGCTGACCTAGCTGCCAAGTACTGCCTCTTACTTTAAGAAAACTGTTCTTATTAGTGTCCACATATTGCAAGTAAGAATTCAGATTTCAACCTCCAACCCCCACGCCCTAGAAGAAAAATATATCAAGTTGCTTTTAGTGAAGAAAAAAGTTTGAGACTAATTACTTAATAGTTTGAGTACAGGTATCAAACACTTCAGCGTATTGATGCTTGTGAACAGTACAGCTGCTAAAACAGTTCTGAAGAGCTGAATCCCTCTATTTTAAGTGAGAAGTTAATATGCTTACAGGACATGTGGGGCTAAAAAGAAAAAAAAAATGTGGGGAAAATAAGATGCTGTTTTAGTAACAACTTAAAACTACTCTTAATTTAAGCCAGTATTTATCTAAAGACACTCACACTTGTAAAGGATAACTTGCACTTAAAAGTCATAGAAATGCTGCATTGATTCTTCCAAATCCAACAAAAAAACCTAACTGGAGTGAAATGGTAAAGCCATGTAGTTGAGTCAGGAGTGTAGTAATGATCTTAATAACCCTCCTCCCAAGAAAATTCATGTGCTTTTTTCCCCACCACTTTAAAGAGGGTAACTGTAAGAGTTACTGCTCCCTAAGACTTTTGAGCACTAATCATAATATGCCCAAAACCAGAAAATTATTGTATTTTCTAGAAGTTGGAGGGGGAGGGAAGAAGAGTAAACTGTTGGATATTTAAACTTCTACTGTACCCAGAATAAAATAATTGTAATGGATATTGTCTTGACTACTGGAGATGTTCCACTCAGGTCTTTGAGACACTTGTTAAGCAAGATGGTTACTACACTACAATTCCTTTATTATTTCATTGAAGAACATGGACAGGATGCTATTTCTTTGTTGTCATTCATAACTACTTCATGGTTCAGTCACTTTCTATTTAGTCAAGTAACTGACACATTCCTTTTAAAATTACTGTATGATTACTAATTCTTTCTCCAGCAAAGTCCAAAGCAATTTCTTTGGATGAAACTTAAAACTAAAAACATACTTGCATTTTCTAATGTTATTTATCAACTGCAGGTGAAACACTGGGAATTCCAGAGTCAGTAATGGGTCTCACATTACTAGCAGCAGGAACAAGTGTACCAGATACAGTTGCAAGTGTGCTGGTGGCTAGAAAAGGTAAAGATTTTAGTATTCAGACTCATTTCAGTGGATGTGTTTAAAAGTTACTATGAAAAATTTTGAGTCAATACTTCCAGAAATTCAAGAAGTAACTTTGAAGTTTTGCTCCAGATTCTAGAGCTGAAGTTTACTAATAATAAGTATATAGCTTACCTGAAGCAGCTGTGGCTCAGGCTTTTAAAAACCTCTCAGAGTATCTCAGAGAAGTATTCTAGACTGGTGTGATTTGTTGTTGATCAAGTGTTACGCTTTTACTGCAAAACACAACTGCTGGTCTTGGGATTTTTAACATGACTGGACTTTACAATAGACTGTCTAGCTTATTTTAAGTGCAACTGTGCAGATGCTGGTGATTTAGGGAGACTTTTTTTTTTAATGCTTGTGGTACCCAAAACCATGTTTTGCAGAATCATGACTATAGTTCTTCCAATGAAAAGTCTGAAAAGGGTGCTCTGTGAGAGACTGAGGGCTGACAGTCTGATCCTCCAAAACAGTTTGGCAATTTTATACAGTAAAATACAGTTACACAGACTTATTTGTATTTTTCTTTTTACAGGAAATGGAGATATGGCTATGTCTAACATTGTAGGATCCAACGTATTTGATATGCTCTGTTTGGGAATACCCTGGTTTATAAGAACTGCCTTCATAAATACATCAGGACCCATAGAAGTGAACAGCAGTGGTTTGACTTACACAGCCATTTCTCTCATCTGTTCTGTTGTTTTTATTTTTCTGGCAGTTCACCTGAATGGCTGGAAAATAGATAAAAAATTGGGAGCAATTTGTCTTGCACTGTACTTAGTATTTACTGTATTATCAATTTTATATGAACTTGGCATCATAGGGAACAATCCTACAAGGGTCTGTGGTAACTAGTTTTAATCAGTGATTATACTGATGAAAAAAAAGAAGATAAAGATTCATTTCTTCATTTAGTCAAAATAATAATAAAAAAAAAATCCTAACTCCCACTGGGCTCTAATCTTATTTACAGAACTAAGTCATGTCATTAAAGTAATATTAAGTAGAACAAAAGCATCACAGCCTAATTGGAGCCCTTTCTTTTAGAGTCAAGAATTACAGTATGACGACAACGCACATCTAAAACCAAAATTCTGGGAAAAAGGAAAAACAGACATCTAGTTTTTACATTACAATGTTGATACACAATGGGGGGGGGGGGGGGGAAAAAGAGAAAAAAATGATAACAATGTGGGGGGGGGGGGAGTAAAAATGAGAAGACACTAAACAAACCCCACTATGCAATCTTGAGATTAACAGAGAAAATGGCTTATTTTATTAAAAACAGTATAACCATTCATTTAAACTGAATGACTAGAGACACTTGGCCTAATTTTCCAAAGGCACTGAGCATCCAAAGCTTGCACAGCCTGCAGGGACCTGCAGGTGCTCAGTGCCTCTAAAAAAACAACAAAAATCAGGCAAATTGTCTTTAAAAACCAAACATTGTAAGATTCAGTTAACAAGTATCACAGTATATTAAACACTATACTGTTAAAGGCTGGTGGGATTTAAAAGTTCCTTTTTACAGCTTTCGGAAGCATACAATGTTACTAAAAATGACTTACTAGGATAGAGAAGCTAAACAGACATAGGAATGTTCCTGAACACACAGTTTTAAATTATGCATTGCGATCCAAGCGTACATCAATTTCTCTGCCACTGATTTTTATGCCGTTCATTATCCTACAGGCCTTTTCAGCAGATTCTGGTGAGTCAAATCTGACTGTTCCACAGCCTTTTGATTTTCCATTCTCCATTTTTATTTCTGCAAACATTACATGACCTGAATAAATAAGTTAAACAGCAGTTATTTCAAGTCTTCGGTGCACTAACAACTTAAAGAACTCATCAGAAGTGATAAAAAACATTTTAAAATATAATCTAGGGAGACACATGAAATTAGCACTTTCAGACCAATGGTATATTCACTCATTCAGGGAAGGTGACACAGGTCAAAACAGCAGCGAAGATTCCAAATTAAGATCCACCGTTTCAAATCTTTCCGTCACACTACTGCAAGATGAAGCGTACCTGTATTTGACCTCAAGTTTGAAACCAAGTGCCCTATAAAGCTAAGGGAAAGTTTTGCGTTTCATTTACAGGCACTGCCAGAGGTGTGACTACTGACAGGCATGAACTGGATTACAGTTCAATCCAATCCACCATGTTCATCACAACAAGCTAGCAAGCAATCACAACCAGCAGGCAATTTTGTAAAGAAGATGCAGGGCAAAATTAGAGCCTTTGAAACAGTAAAGTTCCCAGGTTAGGAGGGGTGGAAAAGTAGCATTCAATTCCTGCAGCGTTTTGAGATTGGACACAACTCATGAGGCAACGTTTTTATGTGGATATCTTGGTACCTCAGAGAATGGAGCTTATGAGTGTTCATTTATGGTATGTTACAGCACACAGCTCCTGAGCCCCCAAACACCATTATAAACAACAAACCTTTCCCTAAAATACATAGCTTTTTATCTTTAAATATGTAATAGAAGGTTGGACTTTCATGGAAAGAAACTGAACATATGGCGACATGGTCTTTATATTTCCTCATGACATGGCACGAAAACAATCTGTTGTTTACATTTGTGCTCATGGTTCTTAAAAACAATTCAATATAATTACTACATCTGTTAGTTGCCAAGGAGATAATGGAAAAAAAATAATTCTGAACTATGTGAAAATTGCCCACCAGGCAGCTAAGCCTTAAAAAAAAAAAAAAAAAAAAAAAAAAAAAAAAAAAAAAAAAAAAAGAGAGAACCTGTTTCACTGCATCCTCCAGCTACAAAAACACGCATCTGTGAACACCCAAAGAATTTTCACAGTCGAACTGCGAGCTCTAATTTATTATTAATTATCTACAAAGCACTGTATGAAGACTGTCTTAGGTATCAGTAGTATGTTTTGTCCTTTCTGTCTCTCCAAAGCAAGAAAAGACATCCTGTAACTCAGTTAAAGCTTTTCATTCTGCAAGTGCATTTTCAAAATGAAACAATCACGTATGCCTACGTGCAAGCTTCATTTTTCACTTCCTTCTGTGAAATGACAACTTTTCTGAATTGGATAAAAAGAATTATTGGATATTTGTAGAAATCCTTTATCTTACATAAAAAGGGCCTTTATTTCTTAACATAAAGGGGAAGCATTACAGCCTGCAAATATGTTAATCAGGATCATCTATTTGCATAAAAAACAATCTGCCAGTTTGGCAAAATTACTAACTCTGACTTGATGCAGCACCATTTCTGGAAGTAATGCATAACCAGGACAGGCCCAGGCCCCTGCATGCATTTGTCTCAAAATAAATGCTACACTATATACTCTGTACAGGGCAGAAGATACACAGTACCTGCCTCAAAAAGGAAAAAGCTTGAAGAGTAATTCTATTAATGGAATAGGTTAAAGTTTATAGCAGGTGAGTACTCAGAGCCTACATAGCCTGTACTGTACCTTGGTCTTACGTGTTATGTCATTCCTAAGAATTATTCATATAGCTCAGAAAAGCTGGGGCAAATAAGAAAGATCAAGCTAGCCATACTCTTCTTCAGGGTAAGGCAACGACCTTGTGTTCCTGTCCTTATCTAATGAACACTATATAAAAGTAACTGATGGAGCTGAGCAGGGACAGGATTCATATACATACCACACTGACTGAATTTCTCCTTTAGCTTCTGCCAGGTCAAGTCAAAAGGAAGCTGGAATAAAAACGGATTATAAATAACAAAGTATTACAAAGTCAGAAAGAGCATGTAACCAAACATGCATGCAAAAGCTCATGATTTCCATGTACTCAGATGCTTACATTTCTCACAAATATCTGGTTGCCTTTATTGCTTAATCTCTCTCTCATGCCACTTCCCATTGGCCCAGGCACAAATCCTCGATCAATATCGATGCTCCTGTCCAAGCCTCCACCCATAGCTGGTCCCATTCGATCAAAACCAGAACTCATCCGGTCCATTCCCATTCCTCCAGGCATACTATTCATACCACCCATTCCACCACCTACACAGAGAAAGGAAAGGAGGATAACATCAAAATGTTTCTAGTAATAAACACTTCAGTATTTTGGTTTAAAAAAAAAAAAAAAAAAAAAAAAAGTTTTGTGTCAGGAGAAAAATAACTTTAATAAAATTGCTGTAATACAAAACTTCATACGTGCACAGTGATTTATGTAGTAGCATGGCTAATATTTTAGGGTGAAGTATTAGAAGATACAAAGTGTCAGTTCTAAAAGAAAAGTAAAAACCAAACTGCATCAAGCTATTAGTCACACCATCTAATGAAGTAAAATGTTGAACACAAGAATGAAGATTTAAAGGCTGTCCAGTTTTATTAATAAAATCTGATACTCTGTACCAAAAAGAGATCAAGTAAATAACTGTGGCAACATTACAATACAGATAATTTGGCCATATACACTCTCGTTTATTTTGCTTTGTGCATTCACATTCAGCTTTATTTAATGCAGCCATACCCACACTTAATGACACAATCTTCTAGAGAAAGCATATTTTGCAGAGCACAGATGTTATTGCAAGTACTGTGAAGAACATGGACCTTCCTATGATACATGCAAGGAAATACATCAGTGTATATTACATAAAGAACTAAGATCAATGGCATTCAAATATCCTATTATAATATTTCTGTATTCATAATTAAGAAATAATGTAAAGCAAAACTATCAACATCACTCATGAGGGACCTTCTTTTTAAGTCTTATGCCTCTCAAGATTGCCACTAGCAAGGTTTTAGTTTCTCATCTGCTCTAGCCTGAGGAACTCAGACGTTTGCTGTAAGACAAACTCGGCCCTGGAGCTTTGCACAAAATTAAGTTGAGTGATCATCTTAAATTCAAGGCTTACTTTTTATTTCAATGATGAGAGACTGCTACAGTTAAGCTTCATGAAGTTCACACAAATAGCTCTGCCTATTTGTCTTTTTTCTGGAACACGAGTTTACTTAAATCACTTGTCCCTCCAAACCAGAAGTTAAAACCATTTCAAAACTACAATTAAGTGAAAGACTGTATTAGCAAGTTTTCTTCTGAATTTTTACCTCAACAAAACAACTTTAAAAATTATTAGACTTGCAGTCACATGCAACAGAATTTTACTTCTTTCAATACTGGCGAGACACTATGCTACAAGGAAACCCTCTGATATAATTACATGTACATCGTATCATTACATTGCCTATGCATTTATGTTCTATTGAAACGAGTCAACCTACTCATTCCAGATCTTACTGGGCCCATGCTAGGTGCTCCCATTCCTCCTGCAAAAACACCAATCATTGCACCACCTAAACAGAAAAAAATAATATAGTGATATACACTGAAACCACCCATTAGTGACAACAACAAAGCACACACTGATGAAGTACACTGATCTCTATGTTACCTGGCAATTCTTTTCTACACAACACTTTAACCTGTGCCTTTATTATACAAATTAAATAGGAAACATCTAGTAAGTAACATTAGTCCCTCCTTCTCTATTATGTGATTTAAGTTACTCTGATTTCTTTCTAGCTTTTTTCCCCTCTGACAGTCCACCAGCAGCACAAACATCTTAAAACCAAGTTCTTCCCACAATGGGAAGAACAGCCTCAAAACTGAAGGGTTCATCTTATTTGAACTTCATAGTACAGAAATGCCCCAGTGTCTCTCATTGTTAAGAAACCAATGCAAAAGCTAGGAGATGCTCTCCCAGTGTCTTTCTTTACTGCATATGAAGGTGAATTGATGGAATTTGGTGGGGAAAAAGGGAGAAAGAAAGGGAATCAATGCTTAATAAAATCTGCTCATCAGAACCATGGCATCTCCAGAACGGTATTGGACTGATCCTACAGGGGGGGTGAAAATAATTCTTTTTATTGAAGTGCTAATATTCAGGAAAATAATCTCAAGGGAGGTTGTAGAACTGTAGAAGCTCAAAAGAACTACATAAGAACCACATTCCTGTCACTACAGAACACAGTGCAGCTGTCAGTTGCATTTTTCTTGCTTGATTTTCATACCTAAAAGAAACAGGTCAGTTTTTACTTATGGCAAAACAGATCAATATCTGTCATCTTCAGGATAGGCACCATTGCTTTAATATCTAAAAAAGGTCACTGCTGAGTCTTCCATTAGAAGAAAACCTTAGCTGTTTGAATTACTGTCTTTTAAAAGCGAAGAAAATCCCAAGTCTCCCCAACAGTCTGAGATGCACTTCAAAAAAAACCAAACCCAAACCAAACTCCACAACCTGAAAGCTCAAATAATCCTAACAAGCAAGATTTCAGCTGGTTCTGACTTTACAGACATCCTTTGCCTGTACCTTCTCCCCTACTCGCGTTTCCACAGTAAAAAACTAGATGCTCAGATATGCTCTATGATACAACCTCTAATTTTTTGGATACTTCAAAATTTTGCCAATTTAAATGGCAACTCCAACAATTCTGCTGTAAATTAGACATCCTCATTTTTACCAATTGATGCCATAGCACAGCCAAAGACTGTGTTAAGTTGCCCTCCTTGAAAGTCGCAGGGTACTAAAGCCAGATGAGATCACAGCAATTTCCTTCCATTATTTAAGGTTGGAACTAGATGATCTTAAGGTCCTTTCCAACCCAAACTATTCTATGATAATTTGAAAAATTCTTATCTTGTTTCTCAGAACCATGTTTAAATCATAACACTGCTGACAGGTTGTAAGTTGAAGCTTGCTGGATCTACTGAATGAATGAACTCCCACATCAGTTCCTCACAGTGGCCACATTCACGCATTTCAAAACCAGTATGCGTTACCAGAAAACTCAGAAGTCTATTGCTTGCATGAACATTTATAACTGAAGTGGCTTTGGATTTTCACTCAGGAAAAAGATGTTTACCCTGTGTTGCAAGTAGACAGAGTGAAAGCATACACTTGATTTCTAAGACACTAATTCCTAGGCAGTAACACTAACTCTACTGACAAGTTTATTACCTTATCACTTCTACACAATTACCAGTGCTCAAACAGAAGCACACAAGCATTACCCTGTTAGGACTTGCCCAAATAACAAAAAATTTTTAAGGAAGGAAGGAAAGGGAAAAAACAAAACAAACAAACAAACAAACAAACCCCTCCCCCCCAAAAAAAAAGAACAAAAAACCCCACAAGTTTTAGACAAGATGAACCAGATGATGGGGAAAGAAAGAAAAATGGGGAGGGGGCAAAACAAAACCTGTCTGCTATAATGCATCCATCCAGGTAACAATCTAACAACAAAGTGCAAGAAGGCTCTACTGTTAAGCACTTCCAGGCACATTAATATAGAAAAGTATCTGATTTGGGGGAACCCAAAAGTAAGAAAAATGAAACCTATCAAGAAGACATCATCTATAAACAAAAGAAAGCTGGCTCAGTTAAAGTAGAGGCAAGTAAATCCCATTCTGATCTCCTCAAGCTTTGAAGGCAGGAAGAAAACTGAGGGCACCAAAATTCATGGTTCCTAACCAATGCTGCCTGATTTGCAGTAAGAACGGTTTTCCAGCATGCACTTACAAAAGCAAGCTCCTGGAAGTTACAAAGCGGGTACATGGGCAGCTTGTTCAGGATTACCAAAAGCATGTACTTTAATATCCAAAAGACTTAATACCTCACAAAGTTAACAGTATGAAGCTAAATGCTTTCCTCAAATAGTTTTGTTTCTATTTTACAGATGGGGGAAAAGAAAGAAAAACCCAACCCAAAGACTCGCTTTATTCCCCATCCTAAGCAATGGCTCTAATAAATACTCGGATTATATCCTTAATGACTGAAGGAAAGGGGACAGAGATGACCAAATGAAACAGAGTTCTTCTAGTAAAACCCTTCCAATATTATGCTGCAATTTGCCACAGGAAATTTAAGTTACCATACCCATCCTTCCGAAAGAATCTCCAAAACCGCGGTTCAAAGCCATTTCACCACGACCAAATTCTCTGTCCATGTTTCCTCCCATTCCACCACGGAACATCTCTATAGAAAACAAAGCAAAAAAAAAACCACTTAAGCTGATGTTCACACAACACTTGTTTCCCAGCTGTTTGCTTAAACAGAAGTGGGTTAAATGCTCAAGTCAGAGACACTTATTAAATACTTCACACCCATGCCACTTCCTATGCCTCCACTCATGCCAATGACAGCATCTCCTCTGAACTCATCTACATCACTCATCCCTAAAGAAAAGGCTTTTAATAAATAAACATCAGCAAACCAGTAAGTCTATGGGCACAGCGTCCACCTACCTCCCATTCGATTAACTCCAAATCCTCCCATATTAGGCATTCCTTCCATTCCACGAAGTCCAGCAAGTCCTGTAAAATAAGGAAGAGTGTTTTCTATACAATATTTTAGTAACACTTAATGCAAAGAATTTCACTGCACATACCGCCTCCCATCCTGTTCATTCCGCCAAATCCTGGACCGTCTATTCCCATACCTTGAAACCAAAAACACAAACACCATTTAGAAGAGAGGTAAGATCTTAATGGATTTTTAAAAAATGCAGACACAGTTCACATCTCAACAGCACACTATCCAAGACTTGGTTTGTCAAGAGTATGCCATTCTTCCAAACACGGAAACAACAGTTTTAAACTTACAGCTCTGCAAAGCTTAACAATGAAGAACACAGAATTACCTCCTGGACCCATGCTTCCCATTCCACCACCCATGCTCAGCTGTGTTGCACTGATGGGCTGTCCACCTGGTCCAAGTCCCATACCAATACCACCAAGACCACCTTGAAAACAACAATAAATATTACCAGAATATTTTCTTCTCTATCATAAAGAGACCACAGTAAGCACAAGTACTACTGAACTGTTCTAAGACTCTATATCAACATATATTAAGTGCAAGAAGTAGAAAGAAAAGTTTTGCTGTCTGCAACACGGAAGTCTTCATGAGGAACTGATTTGTCGTCCTGATAAAAAAAGAGTGATGTTATGGCATGACTTTCAGTGCTTTAGCAGAGATAGGCAAGGTAGAAAAGAATGTAAGCAACTCACCATTTTTACATGCATGGGTCTATCAAACAGGAATTGTCCATTGAACATAGCTGAAGAAATACAAGTCAAGGACAATCTAACTATTTCAGAAGAATCACTATAATAACTTTATTTCTGTACCATTTTTAGGGCCTTATCTTTCCTTACCTAATCTTTAGAAGGTCAATTCAAAGGCCAGAAGAGATTATATGAGCTGTCAGGTATATAAAAGTTTCATGCATGTCATATTCCCACATATTTTAATCTTGTTCAACATTAGCAGGAAAACCTTTATAGACTACAGCAGTAACCTCAAGCACTATTAAAAATGCAGTCTGCACAGTATTACACTCTAGCCCCTATATACTAGCTACAAGGCAAATAAGCACCATTTGCAAAACTACAGTATCAGAAGCTATTCTAAGACTATTCAATCAATTATTTTTCAAACCCAAGGATACATATTGCTTGAACAGCTTCTATTGCTTGTTCAAAGGTAACTGTTCCCATCCCTCGACTCTTGCCATCCTTATCTTCTTTGATGTCTGCACGCTTTACAGTTCCAGCAATGCTGAATACCTCCTTCAGTTTCTTCCAGCCAACTTTAAAGTCAAGCTTACACACACAAATACATTAGTGATTTTGGTGCACATTTCTGTTCTGCCATTATATCTGGATGAGATTTTTCTGCCTTGTTATAACTCTTCAGCTTTACAAAATGCTTGATACATGTAAATAGTAAGGATTTTCTAATATTCACACACTGAAACCAAGTCCAAAAATGTCAACTAAAAGCAACAATTTGTACTACATGTATGTATTTCACTTTAACATACTAACATTGGGAAACAGATGGGTTCTTATCAACAGCAGCTCTACTCCCACAAGTCCTCTTGCAGACGTAGTACTCTTGTGCAAATAAAGAAGTTAACAAGTTCCAATAAATATAATAGCTTAAGTTCGTCTAAAGTAACTAGCAAGATAAACTGAAGTGTATATTTAATTAAAATAAGAAATGCAATTGTAATTTCTGAATGCAATTACATGTAATGTAATCTAAATACATATCCAGCATTTTCAGTTGAATATACTAATTGTGAACTAATTTCCAATTTTCTCTTTACATTAAAACTGAACTATGCAGGAATGTCAGATGCTTTACAAAGATCAAATATTACAGTCATAAAACACAGTTTTAAACTTACATTAGCAACAAAAATAGTGGACCCAAGCCTGCCTGCCTGCAAGTTACTGATAACTTCAGGAGGAATGTTTGGATTATTGAGAATAGAAGGTGGTAAATTCATTATTCCAGGTGCCACATCAGGTCCATGTCCTGCTGGAAACTGTCCTCCTCCACGCTGTAATGCCCTACGAGCATGTTCACCTTCAGGGTCCTGAAACATGGGCAAAAGATAAAGCCAACTTAATCATCAAGAGGACTGACAACAAACAAGAAAGTACTATTTGAAATTCTACATAAACCCATCAAAATTATCAACCAACATCCTTGTCCGTATCAGAGGGATCAAGAACTGAATTACCATGGAGACCCAATTCCCTCACCTCTAGAGGTGGGTCCTTTCAGATGAGGGTTGAGGCATATTGGCAAAGCACTTGTTGAGGAAGCGTGCACTGCCACTTCACATGCTGTACCTAGCCTATGGACAAGTAGAAAAGATTTCAATCTAAAGGACTGTCAGTCTGGCACCTTCTTCCAAGAGCTGAATTCATTTAATTAAGCTTTTTTAAAATTTATTAACGCTAAGTTGCAACAGGACAAAAAGAACTGCATCAGACACCACCACGCAATGCTACAATAAAAATGTTGACATTAATTTCACTCTCCAGTCAGCACAATTTCTCTACTTCCAGCCCCATTTTTGCACGTATGTAGTAGTCTGATAGTCAGCTCGTCCTGCGTCGTATTTTGAAGCAGGTAAACAATGTAAACATAGAACCACTTAGGTTGGAAAAGACCTGATGACACTAAGGTAAGAATACGACGCTAAAGAAAAAGTTGTTTCAAAGAAAAACAATGTTAGTTTATTTTGATTTTAGGACATACTTGTTGGCAGTTGGTATAGTATCAAGAACTCCTGCAAGCCACCAGGCACTTAAGCCCATTAAGAAAATGTCATTAAAAAATTAAACTGGGAATTACAAAGCTAAGATGCTCAAAATGCTGTATTGTCATCTCAATAGTTACAGTATCTTCACTATTTCAAATTAAAACCAGAAGCAATAACCATACCTCTTTAATATTCAGGGGTCTTCCACTAAGATCGTATTTGTTCATAGTGTCTAACGCTTTCTTAACAAATTCTTCATCTTTGAATTCAACCACACTTAGAGAGAACAAAGTACAAAGGATTAAATGAAGTTTAAAATGTTAAAATTAACAGCATGTTTGCATAGCGGTGTGTTTCTACACACATATAAAAAAAGAAACTTACCCACAACCCTACATCCATGATGATTTGTCATCATATACAAAGAGAGGGGGAAAAAAAAAAAAGAAAACTACAGTCAGCACATATGATAGATCATTTAAGATTCCAGTTAAAGATCCCAGCTCACTGTTAAATAACTATTCAAGTTATTTTCAGCTTCAAAATCCATAATACATGCTCTTTACTGGTAGCCAATCTGAATTTGTCTTACTTTCTCAACATACATACCTTTCAAGTGCAAGAAAATATATTATCTTTTATTCTCGTTGAGCCATTTTATTCTCTTTGAACCACAATTGGAAAAATGCCACACAGATCCATGTAAGGACAATTGGGGAGAGGAAGGTTGAGGGGGGAAAGAGGGCAGAAAGAAAATAACCCAAAACCATATCCAAATGCCAATCAAGACACTCATTGTGTCGTTAAAAGCTGTCCACTGACTACGAAGTTCAAATCTACCTACGTCAAGTATACCACTACAATGAACAAGGAGTCTGCATACCTCTTCGTATTACTAGCATAATTGAGAAATTACTTGGTAAGAAAATAACCTTATTGACTGCACCAGTATCCTTCTAATAGAGTTGAAGATTGCTTTGAGTAAAGCAAAGCTGACAGCATGTTTTAGTTTTAACAAGCGTTAAAGCAAGTAATTTACAACAATTGATACAACCTCAGTTAAGACACAAACCTGCATTTCTCATGGCCTCACTGCAGGTTCAGAGCTACTATTGGCCCAACTTTTTACTATTCTTAAGAAGACAAAGGAGCTTTAACAATCTTAACCCTTAGTGCCTCATTGCTGGCACTCTGTTGGCTACTAACCATTTCCATCCATATAGTTTTAAGAAAGCAAATACGTTAATCCAGTGTTTAGAGTACCAACCAAGCAAAGCTGTCAATTCAGGCACTTCAAACAGTATATTCTTAGCTAAAGTTTTATACTCATTGGCCCCAAGAAGAGAATACTACACTAACAAAATTTAAATAAAATCACTGGGTTATTGAACAACCTTTATATGAAACAGATTTGTACCAAAACAAAGACATTGGCTAAAAAGAAGAATTAACTAAATGCCATTTGGTAACATTAACAAAAGTATTTTGTCCCTTACAGCCAGCTAGTCTGAGTTGCATGGAAGTGTCAGACTACTTCTAATACAGAATCCTCAAGGCTATCTTAATGAAAATCGGTGTAAAAATGAAACTTACTTTCCAATAACTGGTACAAGTATTATACAAAAATAAAACTGCTGAGGAACTTTTAAACCTCTAGCAGATTGTTGCCCACGGCACTTACCCTTGATTTTCCTTCAGCATCCTTAAACAGCTCCACGTATGTAACCTCACCAACTACATAAGACATACAAAGGGAAAATACCAAGAGACAATGCATTTAAACACCAGTATCTTTCTTTACTGTGCCCCTGTGCACAACTCTACAGAAAAGCACCTATTATTCACCAACAATCAAAACCAGACCAACATACCTCCTGTCAATGGCTATGTAATTTAGCTAATTTTCAGAAATATGCAGCAGCCACATTCTCAAAAGCTAAAAACAAACAACTATATTTAACCTAATTCATACTACAGATCATATTTTGGCCAGTATGATATAGTTGGTGAACAAATTCAGATATACACCCTTAACCTAACAAATGAAACGCCAACGTTCACTGGAAAGTGTTACATTTATCATCCTACTCACAACACCTGTTTTAAGGTGACTTTCTACCTGAATGTCTTCAATCATAAGTTTGCCTTCAATAATAACCAAATTTACACATCAAGTATTTCACAGCAAGCCACTCACTTTCTAAAAGAGGAAGTTTCAGTAAATAAACCAATCAAATAGTCGCGTCACCTTACAACAGATAAACCAGCAGTTGGGGGGGGTTGGCATTTTTCACAGCCTAAAAGCCAAGTGTGCTTTGCATTACTTTTGAAGAATCAATTTTTCAAGGAAAACACAGAACTATCTTTTTACAGAATTCATGTATTAGCATTATTTTACCCCAAACTTAAATAAAACATTTGGGGTAGTGAGATTACTCTATCAGAACTGCAGCAATAGTAACAAGCTTTTAATACAAGTCTCCAGACAGTCATGGCAGTAGTGACAATGCAGACAAAGTTAATTCCACAGCCAGATTCCACCAAAGAAATACAAAACAACTTTTGAAAGACATCCTTTATTATTCATGTTAACACACTAAATGTGTTGCTTAAATACAATAACCCTTAAAAAAAAAATCTACAAAGACTACAACTAGACTAAACACAATCTCTTTAAGGAGTCATGAGGTCATGCATGTACTCTCTATTGTCACACTAGAATGGCAGAAGATTGTAAGCACTTCATATACCCATCCTACCCTGCAATGCAATTGTCTCAGATGAAAGAGGGGGAAGGGAAATAGATGTACCAAGTAAAGGCCAAAAAAAAAAAAAAAAAAAAAAAGCCAAGTCAAATCTGTGTGGCTCAAAGGACATACACGTTGCATTGAAGTTCTACCCCTTTCTATGTAAGGTGTATTATAAGGAGTAAGTTACCTTTCTCTCTCATAAGATCTTTAATAGCTTGCCATTTCATGTCATATGGGATGTTGCTAATAAAAACTCTATTACGATTAATAGCCTTCTTCTCTCCAGTGCCTGCATTCTTGTCCTTTGAATAGGGGTGGAATCTATTCTTGTTTCCAAGAGAAGGGATTGCCTTCGGTTTCGCGACATATTTTTCTTTAGCAGGCACTTTCTCTTCTTTTGCTGTCTCATCATTACCCCTACATTAAAAACACAAATCCAAACAAAAAATATATTAGTTTTGTGTTGGATCATCAGACCTATGCCTCCAATATATCTAGCTGTATACCTCCTATGCTATTAGAAATCCCAGGACGGCAAATGCTGCTTTCCAAATTAGGAAAAATAAATTCACATTACCAGTCGAATTCCAAAATACGTTGCTTTAGCTAGGACAAAAAACAATGTTGTAACAGATTTATTCACTACTGTAAGTGAAGAAAGTACATCTTGCTGCTTCAGTTACATTCCACTTCCATTATGTCCGTCAAGACCCAGCAAGACAGTACTATGAAACTACTACAAATGGGCAAAATGGAATGACTCAGCTGAAAAATGAGCTACAGCACCCATGATCTGGTGCTTCAGTAATTTTCACATCAGGCTCGATTGCGCGATATTCACCACCACAGAAGTGAGAGTTGAAACTGTCTAACTTATGGAAGCAAGCATCTTAAAGGACTGTCCGAAGCGAGTGTGAACCCTTCTTCTTAGATTACATCACTATCTTTACAGTTTCCCCCACGTTTCCAAAGGCTTAGGTTCTAATCTTATCTTGACACTTTGGAAGGTTTCTGGTATAAAATTAGCTGAAACAGGCATTTCAGGTTTACAACCACAACATATGGCAAGATGACTGATTTTGATTAACTGAGTATTTTCAGCTCTCTGCAGTTATTAACAAAACAGCGAGTAAGTGGCAGTCTTGAATCCAACAGCACATGCAAGTAGCCTTTCATGAAGCTAAATGTACTATCTACTCCAGCTTGGGCACTTGTCGGGCAGGAATAGATTCAAATACATCCATATTTCTCACATGACTTTTCCCCAAATTTTGAAGTATTCAAACGATACAAACTTCACAGTCCTTCTGTTTACAAGCATCAAGAGAGAATTAGCAATTAGGAACCACACAGACACTCTATTCAGCCAAGTATTTGTAAAACTTGAAACATTCAAAGTCAACAACACATTATCTAGTTAAAGCATTTTCCAGCTTTCCCCTGCATCATCCCTCCTTCACACCACCATCCCGCCTGTTGTGGCAATACAATTGTTGTGTGGCTGTGTAATGAAGTGAAATGAAGGGAACAATACATGGAACTGGAGGGAGACAGAGGGAGAGAAAGAAAGAGCAGAGTCAGGTTTTGAGTATCAGGTTTGAGTCAGATCAGTCCCTTCTAATCCAGCCCCATTTGCAAAAGCAAAACTCCTGCCCAATTAGACTCCTACTAAAATCAGAGTTCTTCCTTAAATTTTAGGATTAGAGCAATGGATTCTCTTTAGCCTTTTAAGCTCCTTCCTGCTTAAAGGATTATGAAACAGCCTCTGGGTGCTCAACGTAGCGCACAGGAAGAGCCAGGTCTCCAAACAGGGAATCCACAGGCTCTACAAGACCTGGCTGTACAAACCAGAAAAGCGCAGAGGACACGAGTCTGGCATAAACTCTGGGAAGCAGGACAACGCTCCACTTCAACTGGGGATCACAGCCAGTCTCCTGAAAATAGAGGATTATTTAAAAAAACCCAATCCTTCCTGCAACACAGGCCAGTGAACCAGCTGGAGCCAGAGGTCCTTTTGTGGATGCAGCTCTTACCCTCCTCCTTGAATATTTAAGATAATTTCAAACAAGTACATTCAAAGCAATGTGATGTTAGTCACCTGCAGAGCACAGAAAAGAGTCTCAAAAACCAGGAATTGACATATTCTTACTCTACTCTTTACCTTTTGTATGAGCTTCTAATTTGATACATTTCATTAACGTGCCTGTGAAATCACTAGAAAATTTCTAGGCTTAAAAAGAAATGTCTAACTTTTTTTTTTAAAGGCATAAAAAAGCCTATCCTCATAGATTAGAAAGAGCAATCTTTACCTTTTGAAAAACAATATGTCTGTACTTCCATGAAGTTTTGGAAACAAAAGACAAAGTTTCCATATACAAAACTAAAAGCCTAAAAAATAATAAGCACGAGATAATTCAACATGAAAGCCCTCAAAGTTGCCATTTTTATTAAGCAAACTTCTACTCCCCTCTGCTCACAAGTGTCCATACAAATAATGAGATCAGCAGAGGCAGAAATGCAAGAAGTCCACATGTGATTCCAAAGCACATAGAGCAGTTCAGCTTTGTTATGCTGAACAGTTCCACCCCCCCCCATACAATGAGTTTCGGGAAGCACACAAGCTGAGACCAGGATTCCTCTTCAATTTAATCCGAGTGCTAAACAAACCTGGTTACTGAAACACTTCAAAAAAGTAGCACATTTCACCTGCTCATTGACAGCTTAATCTTTTGTACACAGGTTCTGGGGAAGACTGGAAATTGTAGTGAAAGAACAAGATCTGTAACTCTGTTACCAACAGCTCTGTATTACTTTCAAATTACAATTGTGATTTCTACCACACAGAATGACTGGGATTTTTCATTTGCTTGCAATTTGGTTTGGAGGAAAAAGAAGAAAACTGCTGACAGGAGGAGGGATACAGAGAAATTGAGTCATTATTTTAACAGTAACGACTCCAAAAGTCAATAAAACGTTATATGCTTCAAAGCTGCAAAAGGTTCACAAACTTCCTGTAAAAATTGATTGTAATCTGTGTCGTTTGGAAGCTGAGGGCCAGGCTTAGGGAAAAGAAAACCCATAACTGCTGCTTTATGGTAATGTAAAATTTATTACTTGTAAACTATTTGCATTTCACAGGGAGTCAAGTAAAGGCATGAAGTATGCCTTTATTCCTCCAGCTTTATATTGAACTTGATCCCACGTGCATGTTTCAAAACCAACAGTATCAGACTGGGCTGCTTAGAACATGTCAGAACTTCACAGCTCTCAACAGCTTTGATCGACTGCAACAGTAAGTCTACCAAAAATGTATCAGAGATCATCAGGGTTGGAAGGGACCTCTGGAGATCAGCTAGTCTTCCCTCCAAGATCCGAATGAGATTAGGAGACTGAAATTACAATTCTGTAAGGCCAAAGGCTGGTTCCCGTTAAGAGTGACAACCCTCCAAGCCTGACATCAAGAACAACCAAACACATGAAAAGTTATTCACAGTATTGTTCTAGAGAGCTGGTACTTCCAGCTCCCCTACGCTCCCCTAAGCTACATTAAAAGCCGTTTTAGACACGCTATGTAAGGCAGTTTACATATACCATGTATGACCACACTACAATGCACAAGAAAAGTTTGTGCATGTATGTGTTCGTTCGCTTGTTTTTAGCAAGTAAAATCGCTATAGGGCTGTTTTACCATTCTCACTTAAACGAAGATTAGGTCGAAGGCTTTACAAAACGTACCGCTACAGTAAGGAGTGGAAATGTAAACAAAGCCAGAAACGAGCCCGAGCACTTCTAGGAACGCATCCCGTGAGAACTGGCCTGACCAGAGCGCGCTACAGCAGCCTGAGGGCTCACCCCAGCGCACCGGCTGGCGCTCGGCCCCTGCCCGACGAGAAACTTCACCTTCC